CGGACAGAATTGAAATAGGCGATCAATTTGGCTAATTTTTTCTGGTCGTTTTTTTTGTCGGTGGGTCTATCTGATTTGATTTATTTGAAACCAGTTCAGTTTTGTTATTTGACTTCATCTAGAGTCACTGGATGATATTAGTAAGATAAGATTTCGGACACAGAAATGACAACTGTCAGTGTTTTTGAGTGTTTAGATTTATTAAGTTACACACCTTGCTTTATGACCAGAACACCATAGTCGATCCGCGGTTTTTCATTCAAAATTGTTTGAATTTGACAATGAATTGCATGAACGTCAGAATTGAAATATAATTTCATAAACTTTTAAGAAACAAGCATAAATGAATATGTCCTGCTGTGTAATGAATAATTATGGTAATTCTGAAGGGAATGAATTTCATTTCTTTAATTTTCCAAAGGAAATATCATCCATATTCTTATAGAAGGAATGTATATGAAACGGCCTGGATGGAAAATTAATTTGAAGAGAAGCAAAATTTGTGAGGTACATACATTAAAATTTAGCAAATGCAGCAAATGGTGGAAAATCAAAACAACCTTCATGTTTCAAACTTCATCACTCGGACACAGTTTTACATATAATAAGGAACTATAGCTCTAATTAAGTATATCCATATGTTTTTATTTTGTCATATTAAAACGTTGTTTAATGCATTTTTTTCATGTTTATAACTGCTGTTTGAAATTTGTTCTAAATTGAAGTGGGTGTTTATACCTTTGACAAAAAATCTAACCTCTAAAATCGTATCTGACAATCAGGCGCTACTAGGGAAATTGAAAAGACAAAGAGCAGAATATATGTCTTATTCGTTCATTCACTCAAACCATTGTAATATAAAAAATAGGAGTGGACAGAAGTTCAGCTGTGTCCGAACTCTTATTTAACAACTACCATCCAGTGACTCTGACTTCATCAATGTCGAATCTACTCGACAGATGGTGGATGCCAACCAAGTGTGGGAGGTACAGGAAGCGATCGACTGGATGAAACACCTAGCCAAATTCAAGCCCTTGTGGATCGAAGAGCCAACATCCCCAGACGACGTATTGGGACATGCTGAGATTGCCAGGGCTCTGAAACCTTTGGGAATCAGCATAGCATCGGGAGAGATGTGCTGTAACAGGGTGTTGTTCAAACAATTCCTGCAGGCTGATGCCATCCAGTATTGCCAAATAGATTCGGCCAGGATCGGAGGAGTGAATGAAATTTTATCGGTTTATCTGATGGCGAAGAAATTGGGAGGTGAGTGAGATACAAGCAAACAAAGTTGGCAGAACTGATATAATAATTGTGAAATAGGTTGACTTGCTCAAAAGACGCGGCAAGAGATAGTAGTAATTTGTTTGTGACGTATTCCATCCAGAAATTTATGTTGAGTTCATGAAAATCTATATAGGTACTTATTATCCTAGATAACATTTGATCACATTGATTTACTATAGGAGGAAGTTATCAAATACAAATTTTCATGATTCTAAAGTGGAATTTTCTTAAGTAATAAGAGTGTTTTGATGATTATGGAAATACAGATCTCTTCGATTTTCAGTAGGGGTTTATTATACAGCACCATAATTTGTTTTGAAAAGAGTAGTTTTCGATCATCATTAAGATGAGTTGTATTTTTCAAGATCATTTCACTCGTTATTCCATGAATAATAGTATATTATTCAACAGGCATATAATGATAATTATCATTCACGAAGGTTACGTTTATGTAACGAGCGTAGCGACTGGAGCATAATCAACCTGAGTGGATAATTGCTTATTATGTGCGAGGATAATACTATACTTTATCCACGACTACTATTGTCTTCAAAATATGAATTTATTTTTCACAATTGTTTCATCATGACTTATTTGACATTAATAACTAAAAATTGGAGATACCTGTTATATTAATTATTTGTCCACGACTGTTGTACTTCTTGGAGCAAAACGATAGCCATTTTTCACACCAGTGAATATTAGCGGTGAATAACCATTATTCACTGCTTTGAGAAGTTCCTTATATGTTATATCGTGTTCCCTAGGAACTCTGGACCAGTGAATTATGGTTATTCACTGCTATTGTTCAAAGGTGTGAAAAATGGCTACCGTTTTGCTTGAGGAAGTACATGTATTGGGATAATTTCATACAACAGTCGTGGATAAAACAATAATTTGATGTCGTTTTTTCATTCGCTGTAGTTGCGTCATTCAACTATAACGATACATCAGAGTTGCTCAATGAGGGATCTCAAACTAAACAATGGGAAGAAGTCTAAAGAATGTTGAATGATCCAAATAAATAACATTTCAGTATGATTTTCCGACTCTCCACACTTGCCTATGCGTAAATGAAAAAAACTGGGAAATATCTTTTTCTTTCATATCTCATCCAACAATATTCATGAACAAAAATGTAGCAATAACAACATTTTCTGAAAGTATATCAATATTGATACGAATTGATGAAACAATTAAACCAGTAACTTTAGTTTGTGTGCATTCTTTACCATTGTTTCTCAACAAACTTTTTTTCATTGAATATCTAGGTAGGTTTCTACCTGTTGGAACCTATATACTTGAATAATAACGAACAATCGTTTCTCAAAGTAGGCCTTCATTAATTTTGAGTGCAAGAAAATACTTTCTGACATGTAATATTCACGGTGAATGGTACATTAGCCGTTTATAGAGAACGCAACGTAGTATTATTTTGAAAATTTGGTTCCAAAGATAATTAGTTGTGTTCTATCGACCTGAAATATTCTCATCGCTGCGACGTTGTCCCTTATATCGAAAAGTAGCAACAACTTTGATTGTCCTAATGGGACACCCTGTATATCATTTCATTTTCAGATTCTTCCTGAAGAGCTGATTTTATCGATCTATCATACTTTGGGTCTAGCGGGAATGATAACAAAGATATAGGGTGTGAAAAATCGAGATTTTTCAAATTCATAATTGGTCAAAACGGTTTCCATATCCCCATCTCAACCTTTCATGAACTATCAATTGATAATTAATTGAAATAGATACAGGGTGGTCAAAAATCTCAATTCTGAACCACCCTGTATTTTTTTTCAATTAAATATAAATTGATAGTACATGAAAGGTTAAGATGAGGACCAATTATGAATAGTTTCAACACATAAAATCATGAAATTTGAAAAATCTCGATTTTGCACACTCTATATATCTCTCTGTATTTATCCCTGATAGACCCCAAGTGCGATGGATTGGTAAAATTCGATCTTCAAGAAGATTCCAAAAATATAATCTTAACATTTAATTGAAACAAATAAAGGGTGGTTCATAATTCGAAATTCAGATCACCATTTATCTGTTCGCCAATCAAATATCAATCGATAGCAATTGAAATATTGAGATAGGGACACGGAAGCCGTCTTAATCAATAATTAATGAATATTTTCGACACAAACAATTCCTGAAGTTGAAAAATCTCGATTTTCTACACCCTATCAAACCAGCTCTTCAGGAAGAATCTGGAAACGCGATAATGAACAGGGTGTTGTATTTCGATTTTCCACACCCCATAAAATCAGCTCTTCAGGAAGAATCTGAAAACGCGATAATTAACAGGGTATAACAAAGTTGTCGCTACTTTTTGATAGATGCGGCAACGCGCAGCGCTGAAAATATTTCAGATTGATTAAGCAGAACTGACTACCCAAGACATCATATTTTCAAAATGTTCCGTTCTCCAGATACGTGTAATAGGCCATCCAGTTTGAGACACTCTGTATATAAATTCAAGGCAAAGGCAAAGGCAAGTTATCATTCGTATATTTACAAATGATGATAGAGGTGTACCTATTGAAAACGTCACTTTTATGACGTTGCAGTGACGCCTGAAAATCACGTCGATGTGACGTACCAATTTGGTTCTCTACATTGCTACCAAACTATTCTTGGTTTGCATACATCTCGCCGACACTCACTACACACACTCATTATGATGGAGATGCGTACTAAAGGATGGCGCTACTGAGTTGGCGATTGAACGGACACGACACCCAAGGGACCACCATTTGCATGATATCGTTTAGCTCGTCCTACAATATACCATATATCGTTACACATAACTAAGTGTTTCCAAATTCGCTACGTGCATGATTATCTATTTCATTACTCCATCAGCTGGGAGTAGTGTGAGAGTTATTTTCAGTTTCTTCCATTTTGTTTGACGAATCGGCCCTTTTTTAACAGAGATACCAGATGATTCAATGTATTTTTTATCACTTTACAGTGAAAGTATGTCCACATGCCGGAGGTGTAGGGCTTTGTGAAATGGTACAACACCTGCAGATGTGGGACTTTGTTGCTCTCTCTGGAACTTCTGAGGGCAAATGGGTCGAGTATGTTGATCAACAACACGAGCAGTTCGTGTACCCCACGGTCATTGAAAATGCGCACTACTTGGCTCCCAGGGTAAGTAATGTTGCGAACAGGATGAATGAACTACCAGAACTTTGCAAATGTTATGTATTGTGTGATGACGAATTTGAATGATTATTTTCTCTGTATAATTTTAAACCAATCACGTTCAATTGATAGGAGCTACCTTGTATAATTTCTAATATACGTTGATATACATAGAGTAGTTCTACCAGTCAGCAATTGTTGGTTATTTCCATTTCCATAGTAACCAATTCATATTATAACATATGAACAAAGAGCGTCGTCAAATTTTGACGTTCGTTCAGAACTACTCAAAAAATGATCGCATCGAATACAATTCGAACTTTAAAATCTTCGAGATTATACATCTCAAACTTCCTGCACAATTACAAAATCGTCTGAGTTTAACAAAATAATTTGCCGCGCCGCGGTCGAATTATTTTAACTATCTTTGAAATTATGCAACAATCCAACAAACACCAAATCTCTGGGCGTCTTCTAGCCCAGTACATGATAGATCGGCAGATTGCTGACCATGACGAATCTGCACTAGTCAAAAGTCGGCCCATTGTATACTATATAATTATATATTGTAATCGTTTGCCTAAAATTCAGTCAGCACTGGGCTAATAGTATCGATTCGTATCATGTTTTTACCTACGTCCTTTAATCCTTTAATACGGCTTACCACCTCAGCTATGCCATCTTTTATCGAGTTTTCTTTCAAGCAGATCGCTTCACGTGGTGGTGGACGGTGTATCGTCTGATACCATTGGCATCAATTCCGGCGTTCCACAAGGATCAATTTTGGCACGAACATTATTCCTGCTTCATATCAATGATCTGTTGGGAGTAACAACTTGTCCCATCCACAGCTTTGCAGATGATAGTACCCTCCATACTGCGTTCTCTTCCAGAATTCCCATTTCTTCCCAGAAAACTAAGAACTCACGGCGCAGGCAGGTCAATGCTGTCAATGAAGATCTTTCTGAAATCACAGCCTGGGGAACAAACAACCTAGTTGAATTCAACGCCACCAAAACTCAAGCCTGCATTCTCTCTAGAAAGGCGGAACTCTGTATGCCCGATATTGTAATGTCTGGCTCCACCATCCCCACCAAGCCCACCATATCTATGCTCGGTATTTCCATCAGCAGCACTCTTTCATGGGATAATCATGTCAGATCCATCGCAAAAGTTGCTTCACAAAAACTCGGATTCTTTCTTGTTCCGTGCGAAAAGCTACTTTACACCTCAACAGCTTCTCATGATCTACAAAGCGCAGATACGGCCTGTTCTAGAATATTGTTCCCACATATGGGGTTCAGCACCAAAACATACGCTGATGCTCTTAGATTCCATCCAGAGAAGAGCCATTCGCCTGGTGGGTGACGCCACACTCACTCACTCTTTGACATCATTGGAACACCGTAGAAAGGTCGGCGACCTTTCACTTTTCTATCGATACTTCCACGGGAAATGTTCTTCGGAAATCTCTGCTATCATCCCTTCACTAGCAATACCAATCAGACGAACTAGACAAGCCCAGTCAGCACATCCTTTCGTTGTCAACCTCGAAAGATGTCGAACAGCACTTTATCAAGACTCCTTCATCCATAGAACGGCTAGGCTCTGGAATTCATTGCCTGTGGAAGTATTCCCGACAACATTTAATCTCCAAAAGTTCCAAAAAAATTCCAATACCTACCTCCTGTCCCTATCCTCCCTAGGAACGCACGATGTTCTTTGAACATTATAGGGATTCCCTTTCGTGCGCTCCAAGCGATAAAAAAAAAATCGTCTACCCATTATATGGCATATAGAAATTGTTGAACTATATTCTAGCCGGCACCGTGCCAAATAGAGTATGATTATATTCCAGTTGTTTGGTTCGAATCCCCGAAAGAGCATAGCATTTTTATGTATTAAGGAAGTAATAAATCATAATTTTCGTAGCCATGCCCGGAGATGATTCCACACGATTCGCTGTTGCGTTTTAATTAACAGTGCTGCTCCTAAGGTGGCGTATGGCGTTAGTAATAAGCCTACTCAGAACACTAATGAGCTGATGGACCTCTCGTAAGGTCGATGGCGAGTTGGTATGTTCATACATATACCAACCAAGTACGATTACTACTACTATGTTTATTCATTTCATTGGAATAAGGTAAGTAAGTAATTATACGTACTCCGTTGGTTTGTATGTATGTATAAACCAACTGGCCATTCACCTTATGAGAGGTCCTTCAGGTCATGTGTGTTCTGTGTGGGCGTTGTTACTAACTTCATACGCTTGATTAGGGGCAGCACTGTTAATTGGAACGCCACAGCAAATCTTGCGGAATCATCTACGGCCGAGGCTACGAAAATTAGAATGTACAACTCGTTTTATAAATTAAAATGTTTTGCTCTGCCAGTAATCGAACCTAAATTAGAATGTACAACTCGTTTTATTGATGAAAATGTTTTGCTCTGCCAGTAATCGAACCTAGCAACCTTTCGGCATTCTAATTGCTAGTCGAGCGCTCAACCGCTGCGCAATTCTGCCGTCTTGCATTAAAAAAATATGAGGAATGTCATCAAATTTGACCATACAAAAATATGCATGTCGTCTAACTCATAAAATAGGTATGACAGAAATTCGGTAGTCAATCGGAGAATAGGATGTTCTTCCTTGTTCATAGTTTTGTATACAGTGTGTTCCACTTACCATGCTCACCATGGGTATCTTTTTAACGGTGAGAGATACGAGGTCGGTTGAATGACACCAAATGTGGAGTTTGTCAAGGCCAACTATAATGTGAAAAAATATTTTGATAAAATCTATTCGTTTTTGTTGTATACGCAAAAAACAGATTTTGATCATTTTCATGTCTCCTTTGTAACTTCTTTATTCATAAAAATATTCAAATAGGAATTTCACATTCTCATGGCAGTTTTTCGAAGTGATTTCGAAAAAAATATGAAATTCATAACAACTCTTCTAGAATTTGAGATATCAGCACCAACTTTAGTTTTTCAAATGTAGGTCATAGCTCACTATGACTTAGTTACAAATAACTCTTTTTTCTCTTACAGATGATTTGTCGCAGTAATAGTTTTGTGTTGATAACAACGGAGTTATCGTCATTCATACAAAAACAAAAAATTATTTGGGGGCCGCCATCTTGAATTTATAAATTTTAACAAAACAATCATAATGTCCGACCTCAAAAACCTCCACTTACCAATTTTGAATATAATCGGATCAAATATTGTCCGCCATCTTGGAGCAGCCATTTTTTTTAATTGATGGCGGACAAGATTTGGTCCGATTCCATTCCAAATTGGTGAGTGGGGGTCTTTGAGGTCGGAGATCATGATTTTTTTGTTAAAATTTATAAATTCAAGATGACGGCTTCCAAATAATTTTTGTTTTTGTATAAATGACGATAACTCCGTTGTTATCAACACAAAGCTATTACTGCGACATATCATCTGCAAGAGAAAAAAAAGTTATTTGTAACTGAGTCATAGTGAGCTATGACCTACATTTTTTTTGCAATTGCATTACCTCGTTGGTCCCAGCACTGGGACCAAACGCCCCATAAGTCGAAACTTGTGCGGGGTTAGGTAAGCAGACAAACACAAACATCCATGGCCTAACTAGGATTCGAACCTATGTCGCTCGGTGGGAGTCCCCATACGAACTCAGCGCCTTCACGCTCTCGACCACCGAGCCGCCAACTGAAGTTGGTGCTGATATCTCAAATTCTAGAAGAGTTGGTAAAAATTTCATATTTTTTTCGAAATCACTTTGAAAAACTGCCATGAGAATGTGAAATTCCTATTTGAATATTTTCATAAATAAAGAAGTTACAGAGGAGACATGAAAATGACCAAAATCTGTTTTCTGCGTATAAAACAAAAACGAATAGATTTTATCAAAATATTTTTTCACATTATAGTAGGCCTTGACAAACTCCACATTTGGTATCATTTAACCGACCTCGTATCTCTCACCGTTAAAAAGATACCCATGGTGAGCATGGTAAAGTGGGACACACTGTATATTTGTTATGATGGTGATAATCATTATTTGTAAGTTGACCGCAAATAAATTTCGTACATACATATCATTTCAATAAAGGTGTAGTAGCTCAGTTGGAATATAAGTTCGATTTTCAACCAACCGGGGTTCGAATTCCGTGGCGGTCGTCTTTTTTTAAATTGATGTATCGGCAGACATGTACTGGCCCTGATAACGGCCAGACTCTCCTATTGGTACTGACCCATCAATGTTCACAGGATTTTTGATGTTCTGGCCAATTCTGACCAGCATAATGACGACCAGAATTGTTAACTGGGAAATTATCGATGTATAACCCGAATTTTCTGAAGTACTTATTATTGCTTCTAATTATATCAGTGATACTCAAATTTTATAATGGATAATAATAATTGATGTTATAGCACCTGTATGGCGTTGATTTGGAATCGATTATGAACAATGAGAAACAACTAACATTTTTCAATATATGTAATACAGATTATATTATCTCAGAATCAGAAATATTACGTTTTGATACATAATAGATTCAATTCAATATTCTGTGGTACCTACCTATATTAGCCAGAAGAGTAGTTGTTTCTGTTTCATATTCCTACAATAGTGTTTGTGATTTTTTTCTATCAGGTATTTCCAATATTTGACAGATTTAATTCAATATTATGTGGTATTACCCAGGAAAGTAGTTGTTTCCTGTTGGACATTTTAACAATGATTCTCTTATTTCTCAAAAAATACAGAATAGCTGACTATTTTTAAAGTCATCTGAGTTATCCGGAATTCTGAGTCGGAAATATGAGGATCAAGTCAATTTACCTCAGTTCAAAGGTTGATACTGTTGGTTCAAAGGTTGATACTGTTGGTTCAAAGGTTGATACTGTTGATAGTGTCCCAAACACAGGATTTGATAGTTTTCATTTTTGGGACGTTTTTTGCGAGCAGGTAGGTATTTATCTTGATGGTAGCATGATATTTATGTACACCAAATCCGACACTGCTGAGAAATAATAAAATACAGGGTGTTTCAGTTTCGATCTTCCCCTGAAGATGTTAACATAGCGAAACACATGTCTAGGCGATTAAAAAATCGATTTAGTTAGTGGTAAAGCAGTGTAGTGGACTATCGTGCCAAAGGTTCGGGAACATGTCGTTACATCCACATTTCGTTACTCCCACATCGCGTTGTTTTCACATTCCGATAGGCCCACAGTTTCCAAAGATACTTGAAGAATGCATTGTTGCCAAATACTATCCTGTATGCCAGCATTCAATGAAACAGTCATTGTGGGCCTATCGACACTTTGTTTTACACCTACATTTCGTTACACCCACATTGCTTTCTGACCGCATTTCACACTCCTATATTTCTACACTCTCCTAAAATACCTAAGGATGTACCACAAATAGATCTGGCCGTCTCCTTACAAAATGTTTCATTAGAAATAATGATGAAATTGGGTTTAAAATAAAAATAGGTCTGGCCGCGTCGTAACATTATTAGTTATTCCAAAATGGCTCAGAAGTGAATTGAATTGTGTCTATCAGTACAAAATTTCAAAAGCCTTTGTCTTAATTTGAACGCAACAGTGAATCATGCGGACAAAATATATTAATGAGAAAATAATACGCATTCAAAATTCGTGATGGAATTAATTTGCTACTTCTGGTTGAAAAATTAACTCGAAATTCTCAATTTTTTCCATAATGATGTCGAAAACACGGAATCCAAAAATTTCGTAACTTGTTGATCTGCGAGATTTTCCTTCAATTCAATCTTATTCTTGAAAATTGTCACACCCCATACACAGGGTGTATGATTCACCGACGTATACCGAATTTGATGAATAGTTCCAATAAAGTAAAATATGTTTTGGTTCGTTGGTATTTGAAAAACGATTTATTGTAACATCCAACTTCGAATTCATTAGCGATGATTCCTCGAAAAGTTTAATACTATATGTAAAATTAAATATGTTCAAAATCACACACACACAGAAGGTGATAGCCTTCTTTCCAGATATACGTCGGTGAACCAAACACCCTATATATTTTAATGAATCAAACATATTAAAATTAATTTCTAAGTAATAAAGATATAAAAAACTATTCTCAATTTTCCACGAAATATCAAGAATTTTGTCTTTGATGTGAAATAATAATAATAAAAAAGTCACTGATATTACCAGAGTGAAAAGACTTTTCACGTGAAATATCATTATACTAATCCTCTATTTGAAATTTTCATGAGGAATATTTTCCACGTAGCAATGAAAACGACAATTAGCCTGTCTCGAGATTTCCTCGAGTGATTATGATTCAATAGCTTTCCAGGGTAGATAGTCAACCATCCACATTCCACATCTAACAAATATTTTTGTATATTTTCAGGCACCTGGGTATAATACTGAATTGACCAAAGAAGCATTGGAAAACTACGTCTATCCACAAGGAAAGGAGTGGGAATCCATGTTTGCTAAAGGAATCTTCACAGATCCCCGAAAATAAAAACGATCAATTAGATTTAAAAAACTGTATTTCAGGACATCACCTATACCTAAATTACATTTTTTTTTAAATCCTCTGTGTTGATTTCATTTATGAATTTTGGTACAAATCAGTTTATCCTAAAGTATCGTTGAAACCTATGGATTTATTCTAGGAAACACAATTGAGAAATTAACAATGCAATGCATATACTCACCTATAAAACAACGTGAAATAAAAATGAAGAGTCCACCGGAAATAAACAGACAGACTTACTTCCAGAAGAATTTTTAATAAATAATTTGAATACGTTGATTTCTGATTGAAGAGAGAATATTCAAATACTATGCCTTTCGGCCTTCCGCCTTACATCCACATTACTGACTAATGAAATTAGAATAAGTTAAGAAGTTTTTCCGTCTGATTTTTTTTCGGTGGTATACTCTGTGTATACAAGATACAGTAAAATAAATAAAATGCAATGAACTCTCAAGTTCTCCTTTTGAAACTAAAACTATCCAGTTTCCTCTGTTTTTCTTTATGTTTATCAGTTTCGGAATCCGAAAGCTTCCTTTTTTCTCCAGTCTGAAATGTAATGAAAAAAACTCAATTGGAAACAAACTATCAAATTATGACGACAACTACGAAATAGCCATAATGCTCAAAGTAAAATGGAATGTTGAATAAATACAAAAAGCTCAATGTCATATCCACACAATGTTCATAAAACAACAATAGTAGATTTGGGGAGAAAAACAACTACTTTCCTATCTAATGCCACGCAGAACATTGAATTACATCATCCCGAAATCGATGCATCGACTCGTATGAACGAATACTGATACAAGTGAATCTTTCCTGAATGCCTATTGATTTCGATTTAGTCAGGCCACGCTAGACACCTACAGACCAGTTTCAAGCTCTTTGACTCTCATCAGTAATTCAATGTTCTGCGTGGCATTAGCCAGGAAAGTAGTTGTTTTTCTCCCGAAATCTATCATTGTTGTTCTTTTTATGAACATTGTGTGAATATGACTTTGAGGTTTTTGTATTTATTTAAATTATGAAGAGTTGAACATATCAGGAAACAATTCAAATTGCATTTCATTATCATGAGATATTATACAATCAGCAAAAATTATAAATTGATAGGAGGGGGAGTATTTTTACATGTCATAAGCGAAAAATGTTTTACATCAAATCGGTCGAAGAGACTTTATTCCAAATTCAAATGACAGTACTGAATCTGCTGATTTTTCATTCCGAAATCAAAAAAATTCACTGAAAGTGACAGACTTGTAAGTAGATATAGTACTCATTCCAAATAGTTCGACTCAACATTCTGCTGAGATTGCTGACATCAATAGGTAGTGTGGCTTCAGTGAACTATCATTATTTTAGAGAGTTGTTGGTTTTTGATAACTAAGCCTTGTCTTATCAATAATAAAAATTGATAATATCATTTTTAATATCAGAAACGCCTGTTATTTCAATAATTGACCAGATAATTGAAAAACTACAGAAGTGACAACCTGACAACTGACGAATTTCACCAGCTGATCAACTGCTGCTGATTACTGATGAAAACATATTCTTAATTATAGCACTGTATTTTTGATTTTATATTTCGAAACACATATTTTCAGCAGAGTCAGTGGATCTACTGACAGTACTGACCAGTTGAATTCGGAATATAGCCTTTATAGTGGAAGAGCCGGCTGCAGATTCCTACCGTCATCTGATAACGAAATGATTTATGTCCCAAAGGAATGTGGAAACATTGTAGTTCATCGAACGGCACCTGTGCTAATAACTATCCTAAACAAAACGATTAAAAAATATCACTTTTCTGTGCAGAAATTTTCACTCGATTTTGCGATTTGATAACGAGATGAGAGTTATGCCATCCGATACCAATTGAATAGTAGATCTCAAAAACCTATCGGTGGACCGCTCAGTCTGAGCCATATCCTCGGCACAGCGATTTATTTCCTGCTATTATTCTGGACATACTTCCGTCATTTGATAACGAGTTGAACGCCAATTTGTGCGGGAACGTCAAAGGTTCAACGTCAAAATCCGTTCCTCACTCCACAGCTCATGGCACGAATTGTCTGACCATGTCAAACCATCAGCTGTCAGAAGTCAAACATCAGTAAAGACACAAAGCCCAATCTGACAATCAATATGGGTTTGTTCATTGAGAACATTGTCATTGTTCAAGGACGCATTTTTCAAAAATTTTCAGTAAATTCGAAAGAGGGTCTTTCTGACATACATGTAGAACTTGTAAATCTTTTTCAATATCAAATGAATGTTTGACTTCTGACAGCTGATGGTTGGGCATTGTCAGAAATTTCGGTCATAAGCTGTAGAGTGTGAAGAGGATTCTGACGTTGCACCTTTGACGTTCCTTCCTGCACAAAATGGAAGCAGGCCGTATTTTTTATCTTTCTTGAAAATAGTTGTGAGCTGGTTGTTGAGCCTCACTGTCGTCCTCCATAATGCGTCCAATTTAGGGTTGAGACCCCTTAAAGAACTATTATTTTCTCATTATTTTTTCTAAAATGTAACATATCCTTTTCATATCCATGTAAGTACCAATAAGTACTATCTATTCAAAAATGCTCTTATTAATTTTATGATGTATCTCCCTCCTTGTATTGTAGGACTTTTCAGCATAGGATGAAGATGGACATACCATTATGTCGGAAATATGTTCCTAATTTGATGTTTTCAAATTGAAAAGTCGTGAAGATGACTTTGTGCTTTTCTAATTGGATATGAACCCTATCACTTGAGCTACAATGGACTTCTACCAACGTTACATTTTTTGATATTTTCGAATCATTTTTGAGCGTCAGTTAGAGAAATAATTGATATTTTTTGATATTCTGGTGATTCGAGCAAAACGATTAGAAATCTGTCAACTTTGGTAAAACAATGGGGAAAGTTCGAGTAGCAATAACGTTTTTTTTTTCAAATAGAATGCCAATATTTTTCCCTCACTGAATGAAGGAGAAATTGATTCCGCATCAATCTGTATTGATGTTCCGTATTCCTTCATCTCATAGTTTTCTAGTTATGATTATATTTCTCGATATTTAGAAAAGTTTATCACTATCCTCAAAGTAGCAAGTACTGTTTCTGCATAGTTTGCCATGGAAATGAGAACCGTCATAATTTTTTTCAATAAAATTCTCGTCAAATTATTATTTATTATTACAAAATAGGAAAAATCATAATTATTCAAATCAAGACCTGATTAATAAAATTGTTCTGCAAAGGTAGAAAAATGACAAGGTTTGCGCATTGATAACAATATGCGAAGTGACACTTTCTTTCATTTTCCATGACACCTTGCACGAAACAGTGCGTGAAGTAAAATAGTGTGCAAAATACATACTTACATACGCACTGCATGTAAACTATATGGGATGTTTTCACTTCAACCTTTATGGTCCTCAATCAAGCAAACATCAAAGAAATCATTCATTTCTAAACATTTAACAATAATTAAGGTTTGTTAAGCCAGTTCAACACTATTTTTTATTTCAAGGTAAGTTTATGACTTATTTCAGAACAATATTTTTACACAAATTTGTTTGCAACTCGTGCCGAAATACTTTGGTTATCTCGACTATTTTTTCAACTCGTTGAATAATGAACGGCAAGCTCTGCTCAATTTTTCAATACATTCTCCATAAATACCGTATAAATAGATTGGAATACCATTGATTTTCCATATTTTGTAGTAATAAATAATAATTTGACAAGAAGTTCATTGAACAAAATTATGACAGTTCTCATTTCCATGGCAAACCTGTGTGGCAAACTGAACAGAAACAGTACCTGCTACTGAGGACTTTCATTACGGACAACGTTAACAACTGCATTCGCTGAATACCGTATAGTTCTGGTAATATGACACACAAACACATAACGCTCGAAGGGTTGCCGACTGTTTGTCAGAAATGTTTCCTTTCGAATAGCGAAGACATAAGTTGGCCAGCGCGGTGATCTCATCTCGGCGACCACAAAGTACGCTTCAGCGTAAATGTATGGTAAATAAATACAAAAAGCTCAAAGTCATTTCCACACAATGTTCATAAAATGAACAACAATGGTAGATTTCGTTAAAAAAACAACTACTTCCCTAGTTAATGCCACGCAGGACATTGAATTACATCCTCCCAAAATCTATGCATCGACTCGTATAAACGAATACTGATACACGTGATTTTTTCCCAAATGCCTAATGTTTTCGATTTAGCCAGGCCGCTAGAGTCGGCGGTCTTAGGACTGCTGGCTGGAGACTACACTGCACTGATACTGATACAAGTGATTCTTTCCTGAATGCCTATTGATTTCGATTCAGCCAGGCCGCTAGACAACCACAGACCGGTTTCGAGCTCTTTGACTCTCATCAGTGCAGTGTAGTCTCCGGCCAGCAGTCCTAAGACCGCCGACTCAGCGAAGCCTAGCCAAACAAATATCAAGTCGGCATTATATTCACCCCGAGGCGTCCTTCATCGACAAAATGAAAGACGCGCCATCTGAGTAGAACAGAGGAAAGAATCACCCCAAAACTGAAATTCCCATATGGGAGTGGCTGGTTGCCCGACTGGCGTAATTTCAACTACGAAATAGCCACAATGCTGAAAGTGGAATTGAATGGTAAATAAATACAAAAAGCTCAGTCATTTCCACACAATGTTCATAAAATGAACAACAATGGTAGATTTTGAGAGAAAAACAACTACTTCCCTGGCTTATGCCACGCAGGACATTGAATTACATCCTCCCGAAATCTATGCATCGATTCGTATAAAGGAATACTGATACAAGTGATTCTTTCCTGAATACCTATTGATTTCGATTTAGCCAGGCCGCTAGACAGCCACAGACCGGTTTCGAGCTCTTTGACTCTTATCAGTGCAGTGTAGTCTCCAGCCAGCAGTCCTAAGACCGCCGACTCTAGCGGCCTGGCTAAATCGAAAACATTAGGCATTTGGGAAAGAATCACGTATATCAGTATTCGTTTATACGAGTCGATGCATAGATTTCGGGAGGATG